GGCGGCGGGAAATTCAGGCCGGGTCACTCCCCCCCCCCCCTCCCCTCCCCACCCCCGCCCCTCCAGCACGCAGGCCCGTCAACCTCGGTGATGAAACCGGAGGCGGAGGGGGTGGCAAGAACAAGCACCCGACACCGCGGGCGTGTGAGGGGGCGTGCGGGGCGCGCTGGGCGCGGGGTGGAGCTGCCGATCACTGCGGCGAGGACGTGACCCGAACTGCCGCTTGCCTCTGGAACCCACCCATCATCGACACCGACCAGCCGACAACTTTTCGTTTTGCTTCGGATTGACGGGAATATCAACACTAAAGCTGCCGCTTTTTGAGATTTGAAATACTCGCGCCCGCCCCGCGAGGCAAGTGCCACCCTCCTAACAAAACTGCATGGGCCCGTCAACGTTATTTTTCGTTCCAGGTACGCATACCCAGCCATATATCATCACTGCCAGAACAGCAGGGCCTAAAAAACGTAAACCATACTCCTCCATTCCGTTTTTTAATCTGTTGCTTTTTTCATAGCCCACATTAAGCCTCTCATTCCAGGCACGCATACAACGCCTTATAACATAACGACAGCCCAAGGATTCACAAACCTACAAAAAGGAATTCCTGTGCCTGTTTTCTTTGCACTGGGGTCTTTCACACATTTCACTGGCACTGAGTGAAACTGTTGATTGAAGAGCCTATTAAACAATCCCCCTATTGAACAATCTCCTCGGTCCCAGGTATAAATAAAATTTTTTGTCCAAGATGAAATCCCCTTGGCCAGCCAGAAGACTCGAACTCCACAGCAAATCGAACCAGTATCAGAATTCCAAAATCATGACTGAATTTACTATTGCCTAGATTTATATCATGGCTTTCCAGTCATATGCATACATGCATTTCAGCATATCTTTGTAAACAAAAACTGGCCATCCAAAGCACAAAGGTAGCAGGTACTTTAAACCCACCGAGGTGTCAATTTCGCCAGGAAACAATAGCATATTCACTGAAAATGGGTAGCCTCACACATTAACATATCCCATGGAAGGAACATCAAGACCATTGCCCGCGGCCAAAAGACACCACGGTAACAGCATTGCCAATGCCATCCACACCGCAGTGGGTACCTGAATGATGACTATTGGCGAGCGCGCTTGCCTGCGTCCAAAAACGAGGCTTAGTGTCTCCAAACCATTATGCGTTTGAATATGACCTGCGTTCTCTGTGAACTCTGATTTAATTGAATAATCCACCGCAAGCAACATATGCTATGGGTGGGGGTAAACGACAATTTGTTTTGTTCTTGGGGGCTGAAGCTGGAGTCCATCAACTGAAAATGAATCTACACTCACGGCAGTCTTCTACCATTGTGAGGATATTTCAGAATGACTCTTGCTCTTGTGTTGAAATTTCACCATGTCCAAATGTTGAGTTACGTAATTGTACCTAATTGTAAGTTTTGCAAATGGAACTCCACAGATGTTCGACAGGAAAACTTGAAAATGAGATAGAAGTTCGCTATTTTACCATACAATGTCATATCACATTATCATATCATGTCATATCATATCATATCATATCATATCATGTCATATCATATCATGTCATACATGATAGTCTTCTCTTGAGTCTACAGCATGTCATGGATTAAATGTTCACGGAATCGCATGAATTGCATAACCGGTAATCTTGAAAATGAAATAGAAGTTTTCTTTTTCATTACTTCAGTGCATAAAATGCATTGGTTGCCAACAGTTGCTAGCTAGCTGGGCATAAGTTGTAACTATTACGCAATCTGGAGAATGACATGTGCAGAATATCCACCAATACCCGCAATGTAGCCAGCAATACCCCACGGGCTTTTAAAGCCCACAAAAAGCCCACATGTCGAGGAGCTGTAGACTCAAATATGGCCGCACCAATCCGTGCTGAGCGCAGGACGTCCTTAAAATAACTACGGCTGAATCAGCGCCTATGCATGCTTTAAATAAACAGGATCTCATCGTCGCTGACATATGTATTAGATCTGAGGAGTTTGCGCTACTCAAGATGAACCGTGGCCCATGACGTCGCAGCACTGAAAGCGGGAATCTCAAAGCTCTATCCTTGGCCTGAATCGCACGCGCGTTAAGTTTCAAGCACGCTTGGGGCGCCAACGTGCCACCCCGGTATCCGTCAAAATCTAGTCATGATCACTTGAGCAGACGAACGCCCAGACTTCATAGTCATAGCTACTCTGTGCTCGAGATTCATATACATGATCGTAAGGGGTCTCGCAGTTCTGCAAAATATTTTTGGGTTGATGAGCAGAGAAAATACCTAAATCACTTAAAAAATACCAAAAGACGATTTATTCGAATTAAGTCCACTGTTCTCAACGTTGGGAGGGCTCCCCCAAACGAAGAGAAAATTATACTCCTCGGCTCCATGGTTTCGATTAGAGCCCCTCCAAATTGGCTTTCCTAATCGGATTTAGCTCGCTCTTTTTTCACAGGCGTCCTATTTCAGACCAACAAGGGGTCTTTGATGGATCCAGCGCCCCATATGATTTCGGAAGCCTCGTATGAAGCTGATAAATAACTACTGAATTTCAATTTCAAATAGCAATGTCGACACCCTTTGGACGCCAGGAGGGTCCGTTGTGACACCCCCATGGGCGGCTCCAAAGCCTAAGGAGGGGAAGACATCCAGTCATTTCGTCCCTGCCCTTGGTTACGTCTCTGGCATGAAATTCCGAAGTTATTAGGCCGGTACGGCACTGACCAATCCTACCCACCATCGTGTGTCATGATATTTCAATGTTTAATGTGTATCAAGGCATATCAAACAACATCAACTTGTATATCGAACAACAGCATCGAATTGCATATCAAACAAGGAAACAAACTGTTAATCAAACCGTATATCAGGCGTTATCTATCAACACTAATCTAAGACCGTAAAAAATACTCCTTCCATAGATACACTTCAAGAACAAGATGGGAGAGGCTGCCTGGAACGCTGCTAAGTACCGCGCCTTGCGGTACAGTCCGTCCGTAACCGTCAGCAACCGTCAGCAACGGTCAGTGACGCGTCCTACAGTACGGCGGGCTGAAATCCGGCAGCCCTGGCACGAACGCGCGGTCCCGAGCGCACGCCTCAGGGCGGCGGTCCAGGCGGGCTCGACCGGCGCCGGCCGGGCGCGGCCCCCCGCCAGCCACTCGGGCGGGCACGGCCGCACCACGTGCACGGCCGTCATTCGCGTCAGCGGCCGCCGCCAGGGGGCGTGGCTTACGCGAGCTGGCCAAGGCCAAGACCTCACCTGGACGGCGGGGCGGCCCGGGCCAAAGCCGTTTTTCGGCACGACGCATCGCCAAGGCTACGGCCGCTGCATGAGCGAGCCGGGGTCGGCTCGACCAGCGATCCGCACACCCAAGTCCAGATGCAGTACAGAAACAGCACCTTATGCGTACACCACGCGCATGCATACACCGCATACGCGCATGTAACATGCCCGCACTTCCAGACTGCGTCTACCGAATACTTGTTTTTGTTTCCTTAGACACGTATGCACCTGAGGTAGTTACTCTCCGTTCACTAACTTTTTGGGAGCTGCCTGTTCACGCTGGAGTGATTCCGTAGACCTTTGGCCCGAGCACGGGTCACCACATCCGAGCTACGTCCACCGTGCAAACACGCCAGCTCGGGCGACCCCGCTCCCCCCCCCCCCCCCCCACTTCCTCGGCTGAAAGCAGTCTGATGAAATGTTTCCGAAGCATGGCCTCGCCGCCCCGGCCGCTGGTGCCACCTGCTCCTCGGACGCGGCGCCGAGGACCAAAGGGCGCAGTAGGGCGCGCAGCCGCCGCGCTGGTGCCGCGGCCGGAGCACACGAACAGCGGCGGTTTGTGGGGCGGCGTCGCACGCTCCGCCCCGCCTGTGACGTCTACATGGGAAAATCACGCTGTTTATTCTCGGAAATAAAACAGAACAGAGCATTTTTGAGGCACGCTGTTCCAAAACGAACATGAGGCAGTCATTTTCTTGGCTCCCCATAAGCGGTAAAAGCAAAAAAATAAAAAATGGAACTAGCGAAAGTGATCATACATTGAAAGTGATCATACATTTAACGGCGGACCGTAGCTAGTAGCCATCGCAATGAAGCGCCGAATCCACTGACAGGAAGTCTCTGGCAATGCCAGTGCTGACGAAAGGAGATCTGCCATCCTTCTGCTGCATACAACGCCGTCTTGCATACGGTACTGTAACAGGCTATCTGACATTTGCTAATGCACTGGCATTGCCAAGTTTCCATGCATCGTCGCGTTGCAAGCGCAGCGACATCTCGTACACAATACTGATCAATCTAGGTCATTGTCACGTGATCGGAACGTGACGCTAAAGCAGCATGCGGGCAAAGGACGACGAGATAGAACCGCATGAAACCAGACATGTCCGGATTGATGCGGAAATATCCGGCATATGCTGGACAGGTCGCACAGGATAAGCATATCGATGCATACATGCGCATGGGCCGAGGTCAGATACCGGGCACGATGCTATCAGAACATTTGTTAATTCACATATCTAAATAAAGCCTCTTAGCATAAGGTGTGGTTTTTAGAACCGTAACCCTCGGTTTACAGACTTAATTCAATTTTTTTAAATACATTCCAACCCCGCGTATCCGAATCATCCGCTCTAACATCTACCTACCCCGACCCACTACAGCCGACGCTGACGTGGGTTTTCAAAGAAGTCATGGACGCGTACCTTCCAACAGACATGGGCGGGCTTGCGCGTCACACGGCGCGCCCCAGTGGGATGAGCCACGTGAGCTGCCCGATGCATGACGCAAGAGACAGGACCGCAGCCAGCACAGAGACGGCCTCCTACCCCAACCGGACACAGAGAGGCGCTCGGTACCTGCCGGGACCGTATCGACGGTCGGGTACACAGACCCCCCCCCCTCCCCGCTCTCAGCTGCTAAGTGGACGGCGATAAAGTGGCTCGATTGTACGTGTTGCGAAGGGCTGCCATCGGCTGCTGCGTGCTGTCATGACCTCAAACTCAGCGACGGCGTGGAAGGCTGCAAAAACACAACAGACAGCTAGCAACGGGCGTCGGTAAAAATCTTGACGGTTAGTTTTAATGCAATCAAATATAGCCATTCCTGGGAATTCCTCCCGATTAATCCATGCCCGAGACAGTGGACGGGAAAACTGATGATAATCGGTGTAAATCCAAGGTGGGCGCCTTCACACCACTCAGTTGAAGAGTAACGGTGACCAAGGTTAGCTGGCACTCATGCGAGAAAAAAAAGTCACATATTTGGCAGTCAGCCAAATCAAATTCAGTTGCTACTATCTGAACGCAATGACTATGGTCACGTACCAGAACCTTGGTTGCTGCTCGTTACTAGAGTAACCTACCATGCTTCCTCCCAGGATCCTTGGAAACTAATGTTCACGGCGTACTAAAACGGAAAGCGGAACAAGAAACGGGGCATTCATTAACACACTTGAGACGCAATTATCTAGCAATCCTGAGAGAAAATAAAATAGCTTTGGAAGGATACATTTCGGCCAGATTCGGACCAGCTTAACTTGGAATTTCATGCCCCACGGGAGCACTTTCGTCTTCGACCTGCGAAGGGGCCTCATCAACCCAAAAACTCGAAAACCAATCGAGCTAGAGCCGAGAGAAAACAGCAATGAAAAGCTCTCGCCAAATTACTTCACGCAGATGTGACTGAGCAGTAGAGGATCTGACCTTAACGACAGCACGGAAGACGGTGTTAAATAGCTCTTGGAAACCTCTTTCAGATTGGGCAAAACGAAACCTCTTCCAGTGTCACATCTTAAAATATCGACATATGCCACCAGTGCTATGTCATGTTAAGTCAAATCGGTGAGTCACTGTCGCGTTGAGCCGTCCGGTTATACCAATAACTAGACAAGTCAAATCAATGGGGAAAACAGCGTTGGAAAGACCTTCCAAAGCTGTAAGATATATCCAATTAAAGTTTAAATCGTATGGCCTTCAAGGGGTCAAATCTGTTTATATAAGCATAAATTTTAATCTACCCTGACCTTATATCAAATGGGAGATCGGATGCACGCCGTTCTACCATTTCTATGGAGCGCCAGCGACTGCAGATGTCATATTAGCGCCCAGGGGCCATGGCGTGGCCGGGATTCGAACCCGCCCCCCGCCCCCTCCATGAGGGGTCCAAGGAGCTAACCACCCAACCATTACGCTTCAAGCTTGACCTTGGATCACCTCACCTTGCAAAAGCAACCAGAATGTCAGTCAAACAGTTAGGCAGTGTATAAATGAGAAACGCAAGGCTGTTTTTATTCAGATATTTCAGCTATGGTGGGGCAGAATTCTCTGGCCGCTTTCGGGCTCCGCGATATTCTTCTTCAAATTGTGCGGAAACCAAAGCCGGAGTATCTGAATAAAAGCAGTCCTACACCGACACCAAAATGTCCAGCTAAAAAACCTTAGCATATTAGTGAGAAAAACAGTTTAGGAAACATCTTGAGATTGCATTTCATGCGAGAAATGAGTGACGCTTGTCATTCTTAACAAAATGCCACCGATATGACCCCACCGATATATAAATCATGAGCTGTCGACGTCAGCAATATCCAAATTACACAACATATGCCGAAAAGATGTCAACTAAGCAATCAAAAAACTTAACACCATGCTCAAAACCGTTCAAAAGTTATTCCGGAAAACCATCAGGAGGGCCTCTGAGCCCCCACCCCCGGCGTCGGGCAAGAACTGACTACAACGGTACATAGGACGTGCCTTCGAAGGTTGCCGCCCGCTGGTTTCCTGGACTGCCAAACCGTTCCGTCCCGGGTAAACACAGTCGGCTTTTCTCTTGGGCCAGAGAAGCCTCGCGGATGCATGATGCAACCGAGGGGGATGCCGAAGCGCGGTCCGCACGTGAGACGTCAGCCCGGTCGCCCGTTCCTGAGTCGCTGGCGGCGGTGATGCGGCTACTCCAACCGCACCCCATCAGCGTGAGAGTACGGCAGAATTTCAGCGGTACCTCCAACCTAAACCGAAATGTAACGCGGACCGAACCGGACGAGCTCGAATGGCCAAGGCGACGGCAGATGGCGCCAGGACTGGCGCGGCGTCACTGAGCGGGCTCTTCGTCAACAGCGCACACATGGAAAAAAACGCATAACGTTCAAAATCCCCACATTGATCACTCGTGGGCGCATAATTAAAAAAAAAAACTTGACCGGTGCGGCTTGCATCCCGCTCATGCGTGTTAAAATGTAGAACTACCCTCCAACTCAGCTCCTGCAGCCGAACGAAAGGAAGACTATCAAATCGAACAACCCAGCCGCCATCACTGGTCGAGCAGCCGGCTAGTGCCATGTCCTACCATTTGACCAATTTGAGGCGCAATTATCGCTCAAAGCTCAGAAATACTCCCTGCCCGCGTATGAACGAATGCTCGTCTACAGACAGTAGAAGGGCACCCATGCCCGTACACTTGGCGTGAAGGTTTCTAACGGCCCGAAAGCCTAACTCCATCGAAAGGTCAGAAAGGTCCGATCTTCTCACCGGACTGAAAAACCATTCGGTGGCTGAGGTGCGGACTGAAGCCCACCACCACTTCCCGACCCCACCAGTGACGTCACGACACCGCCTTAGCCCCGGCCGCCGCCTGGCGTCTGCGTCAGAGCGCCGACCGTGCCGAGAGGCGCAGCGTCGGCGCGACCGGCGGCCGGGGCACGCCTGCACCACGGCCGGGGGCGGGCCGGGCACGCGGACGGCGCGTGCCGCCTGCGCCGCGCCGCCGCCACGTGGCGCGCGTAAACACGGCCGGTAAATGCAGCCGCGCTCGGGGGCTGCAGAGAATGGGTCACCCCTGAAATGGTGCCATCGCAGTCGGCGCAGTTGAGATCGGCACCGGGAGTATTCGTATCTCTCTGGGTCGGAATAATCCCGGAATACTATTCGTATCTCTCTGGGTCGGAATAATCCCGAAATACTATTCGTGTCTCTCTGGATCGGAATAATCCCGGAATACTATTCGTATCTATCTGGGCCGCAATAACCCCGAAATACTATTTGCATCCCTCTGGGTCGGAACAATCCCAGAATACTATTCGTATCTCGCTGGGTCGGAATAATCCTGGAATACTATTCGCATCTCTCTGAGTCGGAACAATCCCGGAATACTATTCGCATTTCTCTGGGTCGGAACAATCCCGGGAATACTACGCGTATCTCTCTGGGTCGGAACAATCCCGGAATACTATCCGTACTTCTCTGGGTCGGAATAATCCCGGAATACTATTCGTATCTCTCTGGAGCCAACTCAAAAGCGTGCCGTGTCGCCAGGAGTCGGAGGTGGCTTCAACCTCATGCGCTTAGAATCGATCTCAATTGGTTCCGCTGTGGCCGGACGAAACATTCCTTCGTCCGTTTTGCGTTAAATTTAGTTAAATTTGCGTACAAATTTGCGTTGCGTTAAAATTTAAATGGTCCGTTAATCCTTTACAGGACTGAGCGAGTGTTGTATGACAGAGTCTACCCAAAACTGGATCCGAACGCTCCGCTCCACGCAGCGTCATGCACCGGGGCACTCCAGCACCGGCCAGCGGCCCGATCTCTCAGCAGCTCGTGTTTGGGTCCACGAACAGCTGCTGAGCCCGCCTGCTGCATCGACCCCTGGCTCAGACCGCCGCACCGCCGCCGCGAGGGCCCCGGCGGCCCACGCGGGGCCGCGCCGTCTGACGGCCGTGCACGCGGCCGCCGCGTGATGGTCCCACTCGGCAGGTGCCGGTCCGGCCTGGGCGCCCGAGCGCCGCTCCCGTGACGCGGCGGCCACACGGCTGGACCGGTCCCGGCGGCGGCACGGACCCGTGACCGCCGGCGGACCGGTCCCGACGGTGGCACGGATCCGTGACCGTCGACGGACCGGTCCACCGAGTAGACTGCCGGCAGGCGCAGCGGGGTGTCAAGCGGCAGGCGTGGCGAGGATCCTACGCACGCAAGCGACCGGTTTTGGAAGGGGTCCAGGGTGAATGACATGCCGACCTTGGGGCATTTCTTATCAAATTACCTCGGCATACTTACGCACGTTTTCAACCACGTTCATCAACGCTTGGTGGTGCGGCGAAGCCTGATTACCAGAGCTACTTAACGCATATCCCTTTTTATTATCCATTTTTATTGAGTGGCACGCGCGGTCGTGTTTGATAACCTGACCACTGCTGCTCTGCGCCTGCCTAATGGCCTGCGCCGCCTTCCTGCCTAACAGTCGCGTCCACCGGCAGCGGCAGCCAGCGCACCGCGGCATCTCTCGGCTGCTGTGCCGGGTCGGCAGCTGTGCCATGCACACGAGGCGTGTGTAGATCTGACCCGAAGCGCCGACTGATCCCAGTTCGACACCGTAGTACCCTGCACAACGGGGGCAGCCAAAACAAACCAGAGCACGTGCGTCACTGGGCGCACATGCATCGACTAGCCATACTGCGTCACACTTACAACACCACACGCGACACCTGTTTACGCGGCACCGGCCGCACTGATTGCTCGATGCAACATGCAGCTGACGGAGCAGCTCGCCAAATGCATAATTCACCCGTCGTATCAGATACCAGCACAGCGCCGTGAGGTGCGCTGAAGCAGAGCGGGTAAGGACGTGCCATCTCAATCTGCCATGCCATCTGCCGTCGACCAAACCTACGCAGCACCGTCCCCCCCCCTTCCCTCCCCCCCCCCCCTTAGCCGCTCCTGGGAAGATGCTGAAGGCTTTGCGTACTGCGCAGTATCCGGACAGCGGAAGGTTTTCATGAGAATTGCTTAAAGGTTGCCAGCGGCACATCGCTTCCAAACGGGTGGGTGCTTGTCGAAGAGAGAGAGAGGGCTGGAGAGCATGAGCAGGAGCGGAACATGAGCGGGAGGGGGAGCGAGAGCGAGAGCGAGAGAGGGCGGGGGGCGGGAGGGAGAGGAAGTGAGGGAGAGAGGGAGGAAGAGAGAGCGGGAAAGTCGACAAGTTCATTGCATCGATGGGTAGCTTTAATTCCTATCTGTCTTCGCTTGCATGTTTCTAGCACGGAGGTACACGGCACAGATTGTAGACACACTAATCAAACATCTTCACAAAACCGTGCGCATAACCTACGCAACTGACGTGGCCTTTAAACCCGAGAAGGTCATGAACAGTTATGTCTAGATCTCCCGTATTTTTCTCTAGCACCCGAGAACCGTGAGCTTCATTGTGTTATATTACGATCCTTGCTTACATGCATCCAACACTGCAGAATGTTGCATCAACGTCAACTTCCTCGGTCAGCGAGGGAAGGCGCATTTTGTACCGCTTGCCAAGCAATCAATACTTTGTTTACTCAGTCACCACGTTTCTGCACCACCAGCCACCTTGAGTCGCTAAGGTGAAGGTTCACATTTTCCATCGTTCTTAAACACGCAAGTCTCACACAAAGCCCGTAGCGCTCGTCACTGGCTGGTTAAACAGAGTACAAGGCCTTGCAGGATGCCCCCGTCACCACATATATACTGAATACGGGTGATACTCCGTGCAGTGACGCACCAGTAACAGGATGTCTGTGAGTACTTGCGTGCGGCCTTTCGCCTCCTTCCCTAAAAAAACGGCGCAAAATGACCTCGACTGTCAGCGCAACCTTAAAGGGAGCGTGCCAATTTATTCGCGCTTTTCGCACATTGTTAGACCAGGCACGTCCAAAGTGATGGTTACTACCATTTTGCTCGAAATCGTTTTAAATAGCTCAGAACTTTGATTTGAAGTAGCAGCCCATACGGGAACGTTATACTACGGCTTTGATTTCTCTCCTATGGAATCGAGCACGATGGCTCTTTTCGAAACGCAATTTGGCGTTGGAAAATAGAGATCAGAACAGAGAAAAAAAATCACATGGTTTATAGTGACGCACTGGTTCAAACTTCAACCAATGCGCCTCTTGGTAACTGGCCCTTGCCGCCTGCTGTGCCAATCACAAACGTCTATTCGAACTGACGTCATTCATGTCGGTAGATGTGCCCCCGTAAGCCCGCAGACTCGCAATGTGCGGGTTAAAACATCTCAAATGTGGTCACACTCCGCCGTCGTCATGACGACCGCGGTCGCGACAACTGCAGTTTCGCGGACTCGGGGTATACTCTGAGGTTACCAAGAAAGGAAGAAGTGCAGTGCTGTTACAAAGTGTTGACAGCGCAATTGGAACTCGAACTTTTATCAGACATATTTGGTCCCGAGGTTTTACCAGAGTATGCTTTTGAAATATGTCGCAAAAGTGGGCCACTCTCTTTAAGCCAAAATGAACATTCCCTGTGAGCGGCAACAGCATAATTAACGCACCCCCTCACTTCCCAGCTTGCGCTTAAGCGACAAAACTGCTTCTCCGCTAGAAACAGCCCACACAGACGGCAAACACGTGACCTGACCTTCATTGACACGACCTGGTGTCAATCATATGTTTTGTAAACAAACCGGGTAGGACAAGCAATGACGTGCTGCGCTCAACTTTCGTTTTCTGTTATTGCCCTAGGGCACGCCAGGTGCAAAATCGGTAGGGGTTAGCAACCGTCATAGAAAGGTGCGCTGCGCTGCGGAAAGGGTGTTTTCCCACGTTGTGGAAGGTGGCCAACTTCCCCAGCGGACGAAGGTCAGGGGTGCTTTGTAACCATTATGAAATGAAACCATATTTTGACATGATTTTAGAAGAGGTCGGGGCGTCTTAAATACTAGCGGCAATCACCATACGCAGCATGATCTTATTGGCCATTGATATGCAGAACTGGCGCTGGCCGACGCCACCATAGTCATCATACAGTCACAATAATTTTTATTGTTTTAGCCTCGACGTGGGCGCAATCGTCTGTATTTTTGGGCGCAAATAACCAAATTAAATCATGTCCAATATTATGAATGTATGCAATGATTATTTTGTCAATAAAATAATTCACTCGGTTCGATCGATCGGCAAGAACACCGGCCTTCTAACCTATCCGCGATGGGGTGGGTGGTTTCGCGTTACTTAAACGTTCGCCATTTTGCCCTGGATGGGACGGCCTGCGGGTGCTGACAGAGGCCGTTCAAGGTCACGTGAGGTCAGAGGACAGGGCGGACCATACCGAGCATTGCGCAAGCTGAACTTTCGCCACAAAATTCTGCCCTTCAACTGGGATTGCACGATCGGATCGGGTAAGGATTTAAACAAGCACCGCTTAGCGCGAACATTGACCCCAGAAACCCATCCCATCAAAATGTTGGTGTTGGGTGACTGAAAGCCCACCCCTTCCACCCACACAAGAGCGCCTGTTCCCTTGAAAGGTGCCCCGTGCGCCACACGTGCCGTCCTCCAGTGAGAGGCCGCTGCCCACCGCATTAGATGCATCAGACAGCAACCTCGCACCGGGCGGAAACACAAATAGAGGCTGCGGAATACAGCTCCGCTGTACAATCCGTCCCGGCAGCACCCCACCACATCAGACAGCAACCTCGTACCGGGCGGAAACACAGATAGAGACCGCGGAATGCAGCTCCGCTGTACAAGCCGCCCCGGTAGCACCCCACTGCGTGCGTGGCAAAAACTCCTCCGGGACTCAGTGACCATTCCGGATTCTCATCCATGGAGGAGACGGATTGGAGGAAATCAGCAGGCCGGCTTCAGTACTGCTTGGGAACCCTCCTGGGTCACGATTACTAACAATCCTAAGTATTCAATACACAACTGTGGGGAGTGAGCGGCGGCACCCTTCCATCACTGGTATTCGAGGCAAGTTTATTGAGAAAAGACAGACGATAAGCGAAGAAAAGCAAATACGTAAAATGAAACGGCCTAGCTGAAATAAAAGGGGCATTCAATCACAGACACGTACCTATGTTTGAAAGCGGGGAGACCCGCGAAATACCCAATCCTCCGCAAGCATGAAAGACATCGGGCGACGCGAATGTAATGTGATGCTCTCTAAATTGAGAAGACGGAAAGAACAAGACAGCCTGGGCAGAGAGAAAAGAGGCTCCAACGGCGAACAAAACATTATGACTCGTGGGGCGTCGGAGAGAGCGCGAGCACGCGCAGTACGCCCGGCGTACTCACATTGTAGGCCTTGTGGACGACGCACTTGTCCTGCAGGTCCTCCAGCTTGATCTGGGCGGTTCCGATCAGCTGGTCCGTCCAGCCGAATAGATGACTGCAGGTAAAACAGCACCATGAACAGCGGCAGCACCGCCTGCAACGTGACCTCACGTCACGCGACCAGCTCGGGGCCCGGCACGGACAAGGCCAACGTACAGCAGCCACAAAGGCCATCGCACGGCAGACATATGACCACACCTGACATATGCCCATGTGACCGAGGTTCGGTATAGACATACTCGCACCCAGCGCGGACAATGTACAGCGGTGTCCCTTACGTGAAGCAGAGAGTACCAGCAATCAAGACCACGCTTGATGGCGACATGGCATCGATGGTTACCTGTCACAGAGGTACCTCGGGGGATCAATACAAGCTGGCGGGGACATCAGGACGGGTGTGAAGCAGTCTGCGCGCTGCTCACAGGCACGTGCAGAGTCCTAGCTGGGGTCGGAGCAGCCAACGTCCGGTAATCGGACGGCAATTGGAAGATGCAAAACCTGTGTGAAAAGGTGTGGAGAACGCCAAACGCGCAATGTGTGGCCTACACCGACTTGAAGGAAAGGCATGGTTCACCCTGCTCGGCATCATTCGTACTGTCCTGGTTGCTCCACAGAGCAAAAAGAGCAGCAGCTAGGCGCTACGGGGACCGCTGCCCCGGGGATATTGACAGATCCCGGACCGGACGGGGTCCGGAGCGACTGTGGACTCCCTCCCACGCCCTTCGTTTTCGCGCATCGACCGGGACAGAAGACAACGTGACATACAGTTGACTGCACGGCTGCGCACCACCCCCGGACACGCGCGCAGTGCTGGAGAAATTCCACTCCGCGTCTCCGTTCAGGTAGTTCCGTCCGCTACCCGCCATCGATCCTCGGCCACGTGCACGCCTCGGCGGAGGCCTCCCCCCACTTAAATACGTAACCCTCCGTACACAGGAGAGCGGCGTGGCGTGCGCTGTTACCGTCGTGTCGGGACCTGCCGCACGCCGACCGACGGCTCGTCGCATGAGAGCGTAATGAGCTCGCTATCGAGCCATGTGACGCCGAGGACCTCCGCCGCAGGGCTCGCTATCGAACAAGGCGCAGCCGAGGACTGCCGCCGCAGGCTCGCTATCGAGCCAGGCTTCGCCGAGGACTGCCGCCGCAGGCTCGCTATCGAGCCAGGCTTCGCCGAGGACCTCCGCCGCAGGCTCGCTATCGAGCCATGTGACGCCGAGGACTGCCGCCGCAGGGCTCGCTATCGAGCCATGTGACGCCGAGGACTGCCGCCGCAGGGCTCGCTATCGAGCCAGGCCTCGCCGAGGACTGCCGCCGCAGGCTCGCTATCGAGCCAGGCTTCGCCGAGGACTGCCGCCGCAGGCTCGCTATCGAGCCAGGCTTCGCCGAGGACTGCCGCCGCAGGCTCGCTATCGAGCCATGTGACGCCGAGGACTGCCGCCGCAGGCTCGCTATCGAGCCATGTGACGCCGAGGACTGCCGCCGCAGGCTCGCTATCGAGCCAGGCTTCGCCGAGGACTGCTGCCGCAGGCTCGCTATCGAGGCAGGCGTCGCCGAGGACTGCCGCCGCAGGCTCGCTATCGAGGCAGGCGTCGCCGAGGACTGCCGCCGCAGGCTCGCTATCGAGGCAGGCGCCGCCGAGGACTGCTGCCGCAGGACGCGACGGTGGCCGACCAGTGATTGGCCCAGGCCGGCCGCAGACGTGAGCTGACCACCGATCAGCCAACGGCAGCATCGACGGGCTGTGGCCCGGCAGCCAGCGGCCAGAGTGGCCAGCCAGCATCCGCGTGATCGTGCCTCGTGCGCATCTAAAAGTTTGAAAGTAGATCTTGTACGCGCGCCCAACCCTCCTCAGCCGTGTAAGCGATGATAAATCATACCAACTAAGCGAAAATCCCGCAGAGGAAAATTCACTTCCCCAGTCTGCTCTACCGCTAAACGCCCCGGATACCGGCGATATACACGAGCTCTCTGTACATCTGAAGCGAATTTACGGGCAACTTTACAGCGCACGGCCGCCATGCACTTCGCACATTACATGCTGCATAACATCACATAATGGTGCCTAATAACCGCCGCGTAAGATTACAGGATCAACACCGAACAACGGAAGCCTTACAAAGCCAGCCGCAACTGGCTTACTTCAAAGAGCATAGGATTAAAGGGAGTGCGTCTGGTGCGTTGGAGGCTTGAAACTACGGCAGTTGCATAAACTGTGTTTTCCCATCGATGGCATCCATCACTGTATGCGTCGTACGGCTGCGAATGCATCTATCTTAGGAGAAGAACTGCATCAAACAACGGGACGAAAAAGCCCATTAACTGCGCATTGAAGGCGCACAACAAATTCACAGAAAATCAAGCTTCCATTCATTCCATACGCCACTGAGCACATCCAATTTGCCTTGAAGAAAAGCGTCTTTACTTCATTGACGACTGAAAACATCACAATCACAGAAAAGAATAACGGCTTGTCTTTCCCTCGTTAATGATGACTTCACTGCGCAAAATGTGTTCTCGTTATAAGCAAAAAAGGTCTCGAACTTTGTGGTCGAGGGCTCAGCACCATTTACGTAAAGTAGTACAGCAATCTTGAAAGATTACGGTTCGAAGTTACCGTAATCTGAGCAAGTGCTTACGTGTATATCATATTTGTTTTGACTTGGACAATAAGATACTCTGAAATAATAAACAGTCTGATCTAAGTTAGCCATATTTGATGCTTGCTTCAATTAACTAAGTTAACCATATTTGATGCCTGCTTCAATATCTTCCACTGTGGAACCTTCTAGCTAAGCAAAGCATTGCATCCCTTTCTCACTTCCTTGTCATCAGCCAATCACGCGTGCACTTATAAGCCCCACAGGGACACGCCCCACCACGGCTCAACTGCGGCTGCAACTCACACCGCTGACGCTACGTCGCTACGGCCTCCCAGAATGACGCCACGACCCCCCAGAATGGGAGTGGAACACCAGCAACAGCTTCCCAATGTGCAAAGCAGCATAACAATCCCATACTCCAGACACGAAACAGCCAAGCTGATCGTTGCTCGCGGCGGAGCGTCTCCGCCTCTCGCTGGCCTGCGGCGGTCACGCACTCACCCGCGCTCCCAGACCTCACACTTGATACTCTGGCGGCGGAAGATGCGCATCATGGAGCGCGAGCTGCGGTCGATGGCGATCAGGAACTTGGCGTCGTAGTCGGGGTTGTTGGTGTTTCTCACCTTGCCCGTCTTGTCGTACGTCGGCGCCTCCTGCTCGGCAGACAGCCCGACACGGGGTTAGGTTTGCGGGCTTAATGTAGCAATGCTTGCGATGAAGTCGTGCAACGCATTGGAGATGCGGTTTAAGTTCGTGCCATTCTTAGTGTGGAGCGCCGAAGCGCGCGTAACTAGTGTCGGGCACACAACACGGTTACGTGTTGCGTGTCCGACCCTTTCTGAATTATCGAAAAGCGACGAGGCAGTGGTCGCAGATGCTGAAGGAGATGAGGCCCATAGCGCTACCATACAAAACGCCACGAGCGATCATCGGCCGAGGAGAGTTTCACCATCATATCCACGCAGATGTCTGCTCATCAGTGCACACTCAATGACGACTTATTTTCTCACACATAGTCGATACAAAACGTTTCCCAATGGTCCGCAGCCTGGGCGCCCAGCTAACGCATCAGAAGTGGCAGCGGTCGCGGCAGCTGACTCATAGTGACGATAACAAAGCACAGGTGCGGCCGCGGGCGCACACAAAAAGCGTGCGATATGAGGGGGGCGGGCCGATATGCGCCGTCATCGGGGGTGAGCGCCACGAGCCTGTCGTCACGCGGGTTCAGGGCTGTACGACGGGCCGCCGGCCTGGGTCAAGAGGGCACGTGGCACGGTTCGGCCGCGTCACGCGCGGTCACACCAGTCCGGGTGGGACGCGGACACAGCTCCGCGGTCGCGGCGGGTGGCATCGAACCACCGCGTTTTGCCTGCCCCTGCATCAAATGAAAGGAACGGCCTACCGTCTAGCTGTTGACAACGCGGCAGCTGTGGCAGAAAGAGCAGCATTTGAGCAGAGCGGCAAGGCTACTACATGCCGTAGCGTCCGGGCCTTTTGACTGCAGGACGAAACGGACTTCGGTTCTCGCTTCAAATATCGCATCAAAGTGTGATACTGAACTCCGTCATGTCATTTCCAGCGAGACTGTGGTATTCAAGGCTGACGCGGTGTGGGCTTGTGGTTGCAAACCGTGTGACTCGGAGAGCAGCGGCGACTCCAGCCCGCGTGAGAAAGCTGTCAAACAAGGCCGGTCCGCACGGACGTCACCGGGGACTGACATAAACAGCCAAATCCCTGCAATGCCCGCCCTCTCGTCCCCAGTTACAGGCATCTGCAGCCTTCCGGCCTCTCCCAGTCTACACAGTTCTCCGCAGCCTCTCTGAGTCTCCGCAAGCTCTCAACGATCTCTCCGAGTTTCCGCACAGTTCTCCACGGCCTCCCCGTTAGGGGAGGCCGTGGAGAACTGGAGGAGAACTGAGTCTCTGATGAACTGAGGCCGCGGAGAACTGAGTCTCCGCACAGTTCTCGGCAGCCTCCCCGAGTCTCCGCACAGTTCTCCACAGCCCTCCGAGTCTCCGCACAGTTTTCCACGGCCTCCCCGAGTCTCCGCACAGTTTTCCACTGCCACCCCGAGTCTCCGCACAGTTCTCGGCAGCCTCCCCGAGTCTCCGCACAGTTTTCCACAGCCACTCCGAGTCTCCGCACAGTTTTCCACTGCCACTCCGAGTCTCCGCACAGTTCTCGGCAGCCTCCCCGAGTCTCCGCACAGTTCTCCACGGCCTCCCCGTGTCTCCGCACAGTTCTCCATAGCCACTCCGAGTCTCCGCACAGTTCTCCGCAGCCTCCCCGAGTCTCCGCACAGGTCAGGCCAGGCCGCCACGCGACCCCGTATGAGACGCCACCGGCCGTCCAGGCCGCAAGCCTCGGGGCACGCAGTGGGTGCTTGCGAACGTGTGTCGTGGTGTCTCCACCCAGTCCATGTCGATGAAGTGACCAGCTCAGACCTTAGTGGTTATTGCGTTGCATTAAATTGGAAAATGGCACGGCCGCTCAATTCCGCAGCCCGACAGGAAGACGCCCACTCCGTACCGCCGGACCCACGTCAATGCATGCTCGGTTCGCTTAAACGCGGCAGTAAGCATTCCACTTACGTGTTGCGAGGCATACACCCCATGCCGCCCATTGTCTAGCAAAAACTTGGCCAAGTGTGAACAAACGCGCGTGTGTGCGTGTGTGTGCGTGTGTGAATTTGTGTGGGAGGCTCGCCGAGGCCAGTACCCACCTGGGGCCAGGGGAACTCCCACTTGACGTATGTGTCCACGTCCTTGGGGTTGGGCACGTTGTAGTTGATACCGCGCACTATGGTCATCTCCAGGTCGTTGCTATTCAGGTCAGTGCAGGCTCTGCAACAGAAGGCGCCGTTCAGCGGACCGTGTTGAGGCACCAGGGTGTTCTCAGACGGACGACAGCTTAGCCCTGATATGACAAACACAGGAGACGGCCGAACGGAGGAAAACCAAGCCGCATTCCAGGAAACAGCCGGCAAAAGTACGACGTGGTCGTACTCTGCGACTCATGCCACTGCGACCGCGAAGCAAGACCCAGAGACTCTGGCAATCCGGTACAGGTTGAAGGTGCCACAGCTTGTCCAGGCATATCTTTAAACCGTCTTCCAAATTATTTGCACGGGTGACTTCAGGTTCACAGCAGAGCTTGTCGTGTGCGCCCTGGGCCGATCATTTAGGTGGTGCTGATCCGGTTCGCCGAATCCTGTCCGCAGGCTTCTTGCCACAGAGGACCGCTGGGAGTTTCACAGGCCGTGCAGCGCTACAAGCCAGCCGTCCCGGGCCAGGCTGACCCGTCGCGGACAGCTGTCAGCTGACATGGCTGACGCGCCGCGGACAGCTGTCAGCTGACATGTCTGACCCACCGCGGGCAAGTCAGCTGACATGGCTGACCCGTCGCGGACAGCTGTCAGCTGACATGGCTGACCCGTCGCGGACGGCTGTCAGCTGACATGGCTGACCCATCGCGGGCAGCTGTCAGCTGACTCCTCCAAGCCAGTCGGACCATGTGAAGTGCCCGGTGCTGGGTCTGCACCCAATACCCCTGATTGACGAGTTCAGAACGTTCCCCCTACACCACGGAACAGGTGGACAAAGTGAAGCAATACCAACAACGCGACGCGATCGCATGCATACATGCCCACCACTTGAGTTATATTAAGCACGGGACCACCATCAGCAGTGGCATCGAGCCCGAACAGGCTTCAAATCGGTGCACGCCCAACTCGCAAGAGCACCAGCCAAACAGGCAGCTAGCGAGACCAGCAGTCGCTTCACCAACGGCCACGTATAATGCGCCCTCCCGCTCCACCGATCCCGCCCCCAGAGCGACGCCGCCCCGCACCTTCCCCACCCCACCGCCAGGGGCGCGCCGGCGGCCCGTGCCGGCCCGCCAGGCGCCGGACTGGAACGGTCAGACGGCGGACAGGAGCGGAATTCCACGGCGGCCGGCCCGGAGAGGTCACTGGGAGCGCGCGCGAGTGAGACGCCGCCGATGTTTGCCGCGGCCGCTACTGACGGCCGAGGGCCGCGCCGCGCCACAATAACAAACAGGGCACCAGGTCGGGAACGCCGGGTGCCCCCCTCCCCCAAGCCGCTGAGGTGAAAGTGCAGCGTAGTAAGGTGAGAATGGGAACGTGGCGCGGTGAGAAGAGGATCTCGCCTTCACCGAAGCGGAACACGCGCGGAAATGAAGGTCGTAATGCCACCTGAGGTTTGTTGCCGTGGAAAACGTACGAGCGCCAACCGGACGGCCCCAACACTGCTCTGCTGCGCCGCGTTTTATTTCATGCGGCGCTAAACGTCAGACGTACAGGACGATGCGCTCATAGAGCGTGGGCACCTCCGATAGTCTTCCCCCAGTTCGCGCCTCGTGGTGTTCAGCTCCAGGCCCAAACAGACAGCAGCCCCGTCACCTGCCCCACCGCACACTCCAGAACTCGCCAGCTCTTCACGGAGACGCCACGTCTGCGGCCGCATCAGCACGCCGACCACTCACTTGACGATCTGGAACTCGCGCATCTCGTAGTGGAACTTGGGCACGAAGTCGCCCCGACGGAATGCGTGCCGCAGCGCGTCCAGGTCCTTCAGGCTGTTCTGCGAGAAGCGGTCGAACTTGTTGGCCTGCGCCACATCGCCCAGCGCCTGGTAGTGGTCTCGGTTGGTCTGGCACATCTGAAAACGCGCCCACCAAGACTCAGGGCCAACAGCGCATGTTGTTATGGTCTGGACATGGGAGACAGTTTCCGGCCGACACTTCTCGATACCACTATGCCATGTCCAGAGTTCCGAACGGCAAGCTCTACCCATGTTGCGAACGGTTAAATGATGTACGCCGTACTTAATTAGCATCTTGGTTGCAGGTTACATTATTATTCTGAAAGGATGCTCAAAATATGAACACGTGCACTGCCTTTACGATCTTGTGCGTTTGAATAACGACCGCCGCATGCTTTCCCATAGTCACACCGCATCTCTAACAAGCGTCTCCAGCCCTCCACAAACGGGTGGCCGCTGCGGGCGCTGCGTGAGGCAGCCGTGAGGCGCGCCTGGCACGTTGTGCGGGCGCGCCGCTGCTCCTGCTGACACCACCACCACCCACCGTGGCCTGACGGATCAGGCTGGCCTCCAGCTTCTGGAAGAGCTGTGTCAAGTCTTCATCCTGGCCGGCCTCCATCACCTCATCCCTCGACAGCACCTCGAAGTCGGTGGTGGCCTTGGCGCGATGCTGGGGCGGGATCGGCAACTGGAAGCGGGCCGACCGAAATCAGAGCACACCCACGCCGCAAGGTAGGGTGGCAAAATACAGCCACGCGGCGCAGCGAGGCCAAGACACAGTCACAACGCCGAGCACGGGTCCAAACTCCCTGCCGGGGTCCGGCGACCTAGTCTACGCCATCCACGGCACCCGCAACGCTGACCACAGCGCAGCCAGTTCCGTCCACAGCGGCCACGATGGCTCCCTCCGTCGTGGCCACGCCGGCCGCGAGACCGCCCTCTCACCGAGTCCATGTTGACGGGCAGACCGCTCTCGGTGGCCTCCAGCAGTGGCTCGAAGCCCTTGGCCGAGCGCAGGTACTCCTTGGCCGTGGCCATGTCGCCCGCCTTCTTGGCCTGCAGCGCCGCCTGCATGAAGAGGCGCCGTCGCGACTGCAGCAGCGCCATCTGCTTCTGCTGCCGCGTGTGCTGCCCGACCGCTGCCGACACATACGGGGTCCGACGTGCTGCCGTCAGGGCTGGAAGAAGACTGTTGCAGACAGCCAACGGCTGCTTTCAAATGGACAGAGGAAAAAGACAGGAGCAAATGGAATGGGGGAGATGAAATACGGATTGATCCGAGCACAGATCATGCTCGATACAGCACAGCCGCCACGGATTTCGGGGGAACTAAGGCTTCCAGACTACTTGGTAGAATCTAAACAACTAAATCAGCAGCGTACGTGTCCGTGAGCGTGTGCGTCTGTGCGTCCGGATCTATTGGCGAGACGCACAGCGCTGACAGCCACACGGATCGCCGAGCGTTACGGTGCGTATATCTATCCCACGCTGCTGCGCAACAAACTGGCTTACAAATGAAGCTTATCTCCCATGACCCACACACGTCGCTGGTAGCCAGCTCATCACAACCGGTTCCTGTCACATGTCCCGTCAGCCAGAGATGGAATCAGGCATAAAATCCTATGAATGACATTGAATTCGTCAAAAACAATGCAACATCCTATCGTTTATAGAACGTTCCCGGCCTTTCCATGCCTTTTGAACGGCTCAGCTCCGTCGCTGAACCAAGCAACACGGCCAGCGTCTGACGGTCCGAGAGGTCCCCCCCCCCCTCCGCACAGCAGCAGCTCCTGGCCGGGCGCACTCACACATCAATACATAGTCCCACCAGCTGCGGGTGTGGACGCCCCCTGTCCCCCTCTCCGCACAGCAGCAGCTCCTGGCCGGGCGCACTCACGCATCAATATATAGTCCCACCAGCTGCGGGTGTGGACGCCCCCTGTCCCCCTCCCCGCACAGCAGCAGCTCCTGGCCGGGCGCACTCACACATCAATACATAGTCCCACCAGCTGCGGGTGTGGACGCCCCCTGTCCCCCTCTCCGCACAGCAGCAGCTCCTGGCCGGGCGCACTCACACATCAATACATAGTCCTACCAGCTGGGGGTGTGGACGCCCCCCTGTCCCCCTCTCCGCGCAGCAGCAGCTCCTGGCCGAGCGCACTCACACATCAATACATAGTCCCACCAGCTGCGGGTGTGGACGCCGCCCCCCCCCCCCCCTCCGCACAGCAGCAGCTCCTCACACATCAATACATAGTCCCGCCAGCTGCGGGTGCGGACGCCCCCTGCCTCCCTCTCCACACAGCAGCAGCTCCTGGCCGAGTGCACTCACACATCTGCCGGGTGACGGTCGGCTTGGAGCCGGAGGGACGCGGCTCCGGGTCCGGCTGGGCGGCGGCGGCCGGAGCGGCGGCCGAGGCGCCCTCGGTCGGGATCGGCGCGAACCCTGCCGACATGCGGCGCCGGTCAGGGCGGCGTCATGGCACCGGCACGGGCGCCGCACACCGAGGCTGGTGACGGGATGGGAGGCGATGCCACGCCCACAGGCTTGGAAGACATAGCTGCCAGGTAAACATAAACAATAGCATACGTCTGGTACGTGACAATGGGCACAGTCGTGCATTTATGCATAAACATTTACACAGCACATGTGTATTTGCACTACGGCTTGTGGAAGACCACGCGAGCAGACTTGCAGCGGGGAAATAGACGCACAATACACAAATATACACAACATGCTTAGCGCCCAATGTCTGCAAACACATCCAGCAAGGCATGGAACGTCCGTGCGCCGCCTTGTCCGGCCTCCTCTCCCGCACGCTAGTCCTGCCGGACACGTCAGTGCGACAGGCTGCAGCCCTCCGCCCGCGCCACCACCGGGCCCCGATGCCTGCGAGCCGGTCTCGCGCACCGGCAGCCCGGTCTGCAGCGATCCCACCGCATCTGTTCATCCCCGGAGCGTCTGACTCTGGTGAGATGTGCTGACCCGACAGGCACAGGCCGCGGCGTCCGCTCACCGGGCGGCGTCGGCAGCTCGTCGAAGGCCACCGGTTTGCCGGCCTGGTGCCGCCGGATGGCGTCCGTGTACTGCTTGCAGATACGGCCGAACCGGCGCGCCTTGCTGCCGTTGCCCGCCTCCTTCGCCTCGTCCTCCTCTTGCTGGGGACGGAGTGGGGCGAGTCAGGCACGAGCAGGAGGCCGCGTCCGGGCTGGCACGTGATGGGCCGCCTACGTCACGGCCAGCTTACTTTAATGTGCTCTTCCGAGGCGCGCTGCTTGTCAGCAACGACCGACGACTTGCAAACTGCCTCGAACAATGTTTAGTTATGCTTTAACGATACCCGATTAGCTATCGACGTAACCTACGGCAAACCGTCCGATAACTAGCTACCATTCTAATGGCGGCGTACTTTCTGGTATCTAGATATGCTAACATCGCAGATCTGGGCAAATGATTTGCAGCAAAAGAAGCAGAGCAACATCACCACTCCCAGTGCCCGCACGACCCAAAGCAAACAACGCAACTCTTGTTTTCACTGCTCCAAGCCCCATGGTCCCCGCCAGCGGCCTGCTCCGCTCCTGCGGCAGCCAGCGACCCCGCGCCAGCCCGGCCCACCTTGTACCGCTGCAGCCGCTGCTCGAGGGCTTCCAGCGCGGTGGCGGGGGGCGGCGGCGCGCCGTACAGAGTCGGGTCGGCCGGCGGCGGCCCGCCCTCCGGCACCACCACCGGCTCGTCCAGCGGGATGCCGCCGCTCGTCGAGCCGCCGCGCCGCATCGGCGGCCGCGGCGCCGACGCGGCGGCGGCGCTCGGCGGCGGCGGAGGCATGTCGCTCAGGTCCACCGTCTCGCCCGCCTCCATCGCCGCCAGCACCTGCTCGAACGCCTGCCGGGAGGGGGAGGGGGGCACATCGACGTCACGAGCGGACGGCTGTGGTCTGCAGGGGGGGGGGGGATGGGCCACAGGTGCAGGTGCAGCGAGTCGCACAGCCTGCGCACACATTAAGTGCAAATGGCAGGCAGGCGGAGGAAATTGCGATAGGCGGGGAAAGCTGACTCCCAGATGATGATGATGATGATGATGATGACGATGATGATGATGATGATGATCTGGGCTTTGGGACGCACCGACTGCGTTGGTCATATGGCGCCCAAGATTCCCAGTCTTGCATGCATGGGAGTGAGAAGGCGATGCACAAGTAAAACAAATGGCATGAATCGCTGCAAATAACTGATGAACTAGCTGTTTAAGGCGAAAGATGACACTGCAGAATGAATACGAGACAACTGGCATCGCAGGCAAATAACGCAATGCACACCAAACACACCAAAGTCAATGCATGGGTCGCATACGCTGAGGCCCAAACCTCACATATTGCGTCCAACCCCAAGACAACAAAGTGGCGAGCTACCGCACCTTGACGACGCGGACGTACTGCAGGGCCGTCCCCTTGTCGCCGGCCTTTTTGGCCAGCACGGCAGCGTGCTTGTACTGGCCCAGCCTCTCCTGCACCTCAGCCAGGCGCGGGTGCGGCTCGGCGGCGGCGGCAGCGGCGGCCGGCTCCGGGGTCTCGGCCGGCTCGTCAGCAGCCTCGGCCCGGCGGGCCACCTTGGGCGGAGACGGCTGCTCCGGCGGCGTGGCTGGCGCTGTGACGGGCGGCAGAGGCCGGTCAGCGGGGGTGGCGTTACAGCTCGGGAGCTCTGGCCCAGCAGTGGACCCCACACACGGCGCTCACTGCCGCCCGCGACCCCCACGTGCTCTCCAGGACGACGCGCTCGCACATAACAGGCACGGACGGCAATGACATTGGAAGAGACAGCACCCGTAACGATGGCCAGTACCGATCGTGCCGAGCAGATACCAGTCCCACTGAACAGCCGATCTCAGCTGCAAGCCTTAGCGCAGTACGACATCACTGTCTCCCCAGCCAGCGGCAGCTAGCCAGGAGACTGGTGCGCCACTGACCCTGCTCCGCCGGGCCGTCCTCCGGCTCGGGGGTGCTGTGTGCAGCCGCTGTGTACACCGGCGGCGGAATGTCCTCCTCGTTGATCGCCCGGCCGGCCTTCGCCTTCCGCAGCATGTTCTCCAGCGTCTTCAAGCCACGCCCGAACCTGACGGCGAAGAGGCCAAACGGTCACCGCTGTATACGCAGTTTCCATGACACAATGTTGGTATCATTCGAGACCGGTCCTAAATACGCGAGCAGTGGACTGAGCTCGTCGGTGGCCTTAGTCTGCCCTGCTGACAGCAGGAAGGTGGGACATAGGCACGAAGTGTTCAGTTCACGCTACAGGCTCTGTGCCAGACAAGAACAACTGCGACAGAACAGTTTTAGACCGCACTCAGAGGCCTCCAAACCTGATATCGACATATCACCTCTCCGGAGACCGTACCCAGCGGACCACGAGCCCGCGCAGTTATCTCTAGTCCGGTGGGCGGAATGATGGAGTAAGCCGGGTGGATTGTTACGCCCCCCCCCCCCCCCCCCCCCCCCGGTAGGGTCTTAACCGTTCCGCTCACCGGCGCGCGCGGCTGCTCTGGCCCGCCTCCTTGGCGTTGGCCTCGGCCACGCGGTACATCTCGAGCCGCTCCAGTAGCACCACGGTCATGTCCCCGGCGGCGGCCGGCGGGGCGGGGGCGGCCGGCGCCTGGGCCGGCACCGGCGGTGGCGGCGCCCGCCGGGCCGGCGCGGGCGCGGGCGCGGGCGCCGGCGACGCCTCCTCCGTCATCTCGGCTAACTCCGCCTGGTCAGGCACAAGCAGGACTCAGCAAGCTGAGAGCGGTTCGCTCCATGAAGCCAGTACAAGCTACATCTTGGCATTGCCTTCAATCCTGTCACCGATATCACCAGTTTATAAACAGGGCCCAACATTTCCAGCTGCAGCCCCAAATTAGGACCCCGGGACGCAAAACGAGGGCACTCGCGTCGTCTGTGTCGTTTATAGGCCGAGCTGCAGCCGACTGAGTCATCTGTTACCTACTGCGGCCTCCCCCGCCCCTCGTCTCACTCAAGCCCCGGTAAACACCATGCAACACCATATCAAATCATTCGGTGCTTCCACGGAGCGAACACAGCCCAGCAAACACGTCAAGAGGTGGAGATTAGCTTAGGATGCGATTGACACGGCCGGCGAGCTGCAGCCTTGACGACAACAAACTCAACGAGAGTCAACCCTGGCCCGGGGCGGCCGTGTCGCAGCATTGTGCGGCACGTAGAACCCTCCGCACTCTTGTCTGGCGAAAGGGCGGATGCGCAATCATCCGTTGCACTGGACGGCACGACTTGGGTGGTGGGTTCGAGGTAGACGGAACAAGCTATGCTAAGCAGGCCCTCTGGGCCCAAAGAGAGCCATACGAGCCATTCGGAGCATCTTTTAGCGGTGTGAATTGTTTCCGCCGTGAGTTGTGTGTGAGTTGTTTTTTAAAAGGAACGCGGCACACGTCGTCACGCCCATCTCATGGAGAGCCGGCGACTACACTGGCCACATAAGCGCTCAGGGGGCATGGCACAACCGGAATTCAAAACCCGGACTCCACGTGGGAGTCCGGAACGCTAACCACTCGGCCATTAGACCCCTGAGCGACGGACCCACCAGCAGTTCGGGGTCGTTCTCGTCCACGTCCGAGATCTCGTCGTCGTCACGCAGGCTGGCGGCCGTCATGGCGGCCAGGTCCGGCTGCGGCGTCGGTCGCTCTGCGGGCATCAGCTGGGATCAGCGGGCACCAGCTGGGGTCAGCGGGCACCGGCCGGGGTCAGCAGTCACCAGCCGGGGTCAGCGGACACCAACCCGGGTCAGCGGACACCAGCCGGGTCAGCGAGCACCAGCTGGGGTTAGTGGACACCAGCCGGGGTCACAAACACCAGCCAGGGTCAGCGGGCACCAACCGGGGTCAACGGACACCAGTCGGGGTCAGCGGACACCAGCCGGGGTCAGCGGACACCAACCCGGGTCAGCGGACACCAGCCGGGTCAGCGAGCACCAGCCGGGGTCAGCGGACACCAGCTGAGGTTAGCGGACACCAGCCGGGGTCAGCGGGGCACCAGCCAGGGTCAGCGCACAGCAGCCGGGGTCAGCGAACACCAGTCGGGGTCAGTGGGCACCAGCTGGGGTCAACGGACACCAGCCGGGGTCAGCGGACACCAGCCGGGGTCAGCGAACACCAGTCGGGGTCAGTGGGCACCAGCTGGGGTCAGCGGACACAAGCCAGGGTCAGCCGAGGACATGTGTTGCACAAGGAGCGGTGGCACGGTCAGATACTTAAAACGCCATTTGACACTAGAATGTCAAGAAACTTATGACAGCAATTTGTAACCAAGACACTAGATGGCGAGTGCCTGCACTCAGTAGTTAGCGCTGTGTGACAGCCGGCATTTTCTCATTGGCTTGTAAGTGAGAGCACACCAATCTTGGCAGAAATGCCCAGCTAACAAGATGGCCAAATCCTCACCATTACAAACAATAACAGTACCTCCAGTTTAGCTGTAACAAGCACACACCACAATAGCGTGGCCTCGGTATTTCGGCGCCAGCCCACGCCCGCGACTGCCTCACAGTGCCAGCACGGCCACCGCCGTCCACGCTGAGTGCAGCTTGACACGCGTGACCAACGAAATGTGTTAGTTCACCAATTCTGGACTGCGCAGACGGCCACGCAGCGCGGTTATCGGGGATACGCCGTCCGAGCTGGCACTTACGCAGCCTGTAGCGGCCGCCCTAGTCACTAGGGCAGCTGGTGACAGGCGTTACTCACTGGCGCGTGCTGGCCGCTGGCCCTCCATGTCGGTGCCGGCCAGCAGCTGGGAGAGCTCGGCCTCCAGCGCCGCGTCCGACACGTCCAGGTCGGCGTCTGGCGCCAGGCCGGCGGCGTCCGCAGCACCCACGCTCATCAGACCATACTGGGCAGCAGGGCCCAACAAGTCAGTGGGGTCACTGGGATGGGAAGCAGCTCGCACAGGAACAGCACAATGCACCAGGCTGCACAGAGGCTGAGCATTGTGTGCATTTTAACCGGGCTACTGTTGTCAAGAACAGCTGACCTGGAAACAAGTTATGCAGTAGCCAATATATTCACACACCAGTTTGAGCCAGTGCATCACATGGATCATGTGATAATCTCATTCCCAAAACAAAGTGTGCCTAGAAAAGAGCCACTGTAGTAAATGCCATGGGGGATGAAAGCCATGGTGTAATATTTGATTGAATTTGTGGGATAATGGTTTTGCATATATTAAGCCTAAACAGGATGGTTCAAGCTTTCATAGCATTTATGATGCAATCATTCTGACACATTTTGGCAAGTTCCTGCATGATAGAAAACACTGAAATCTGCTAAAATGGCTAACATACCTGTGAAAGATCTCCTTGGCCTGTTTTTGGCCTTCTTCTCCCAGCCATTATCTCCTTTCTGAAAAATGCAAAGCAAATTTATGTTTAAAGGCAGAGTATTTGAGAATTTCCAAAAAAGATAGTCTTCTTAGAATGACATGCAAGCAGTGAATAGTTTTCCTATGAAACATTGTGTTACCTTATCTTCTGACAGCTAGTCTGAGCTCTGCTAGGCTGCTGAGCTGATATCAAGGTGCATGTCAGTGTCCTTTGTTATATTTCATGACAATATGTAAAGTAAAAAATAAAACTGTTAAGTTGAAGGAAAGGGATGAAAACCTGGCAACAAGGCACTCAGGACAAGATAACAATTTCAAGGTCATATGATGCCTGTGAGCAAAAGCATCAATTGGTCTGAGGTGACCTAAGTCATTGCTCCTAAACTGATAAGAACCATGTATCTGACTATTTCCAGTGAGCCTGCCTTGTTGGCACCACCTCCCAGTCATATTAATGCACTCTTTTGTCACCATGACCTTGACCCACAATGAGCACAGGTGATGTCAGTGACATAACCTTGCCTTTGGTCTGATCACATAACTCATCATCATACAATTTGGTGCTGGACACACTTCTAGAACCTACCACTGGACCTCTGCGTGGTTTGTTTGTTAAGTGCTATGCAAAGCAGAATACCTTTGTTTCCATAATTTTATTAATACACATTTCCTGCTGGTTTGAGCCTAAGCCTGATCTAAAACAAAGCATGGCAAAGCATGACATCTATATCACATAGACACTTTTTGTTCCACCGTACTTTCCACTTTCCTGCTAATTTGAACCTAGGCCTGATCTAAAACAAAGCATGACAAAGCATGGCATCTACATCACACTGCCGCTTTGTTTTGTTCCACTCATCTCTTCAATACAAATGTCGCCATCACTTTTCTCCCCTTCACATAGTGAATCACCGAAATAGGTACCACAGAACATGCGGACTTAACCTTATGGGTATAAGTTCAATAAGTGTTGTCTTCTGAAATGGCTAGAATAAAGGCGACGAATCGCAGTTTTCAAGTCCAGTCCCCGTCACGCACCCGACCACCCACGCAATTTGCAGAAGAGCTAGGCCGAGCTGCGCTGAGCCTCAAGGGCGTTTGACTGGAAGGGGAGGTACCAAGTTTCAACCACGGCGCATTGCTGCATAACCTTGTGTATCATCAATATTTCAGAAATATATGTCACGTGATAAAAATATTCGGTTTTGGCAAGTTTCATTGGTATGTAAATGTCTTGGTCAGATTGATTAGATCCGTACAAATTTATTTTAACATGATAATCATTCCTTATTAGTCTTCATCTGAAACAGTTGTATAATCATCTTTCAACATCTTGGACGGTGTGACTGCGTGATGTCATGGCTATTGGACGGGGTTGGTGGGACGAACGTGACGTTTGGAGCACGTAAGCGGTGTTTGTCGTGTGGTTGCGCGAAAACTTGGCGAAGTATGGGAATCTGAAATACTGCGTGTCAAAGCTGTGATGGCGACATCTATGACGAGATTACAGAAGTTATCACTTTACAAAAGTTTGCTTAGGGAAAGTGCCAAGTTTTCGTCCTATAACTACAGGTAAGTGGCCGTCCAGAAATTACGTTACTCGTGGATGAAGAGATTTCTTATGAAGCGTGAGAATGAGGGCGACTTGGATAGGATAATGTCACGTTTGGGTGTGGTTGCAAATTGTTGTATTTTTTTTTTATAGTGTTTAACACCATAACCAGGGAATGGGTTGGGTCTGACGCTGCACAACAGCACAACCAAGTGGTAACCAAAGGCCAGGCTGCAAAAAAATCATAAATTGCCCTTCATTCCTATGCATCTTTGGTGTGCTGAGCCTCAATGTATCAACTGAGGCTCCTAACTGAGGCCAGGTAAGCTTGTGTTGAGTTTTCAGACTGTTTTGGGGTTAAAATGTTACCACATTTGCCTACATTTTCCTTCGCAACATCAAGAGGTCTTACAACTTTGCCTCTTAATGCACTGAAATTGGTGGGGATTACATCAAGCCCTAAAAATAGGGTTTAATTTGTTTGTGGTTTGAAAATATCACTATGAGGGTTCTTGTGTCATACTTCATGTGTTTCATACTTTGCATGATTGGTGTAGCATGCATTTTTTAGCCTGAATAAGGAGCAGGGTGGTTGAAATGCATTGATATATGTATTTTTTTAATGGATCCTTGGAAGTCCTGCATTTCTTCAATTTCAGTTTCATGGAGTCCTTTTCCATTTATCCAGTATGATGTGCCCTGTTTGAGCCTTGTGATTGGATCAAAACTCATAGGAGTTCTCTAGATGAGGGGGAAAGGGGGCTGACATGAGGTTATGCAATTTCCTGGCTTGGCAGAATTTAATGTTACGTATGCCTTTGTGCCTTATATAGAAAGTAAGTTGTCAAAATGTTACTATCTCCCACTTAAATAAGGGGAATGGCATATATGCATTAGATGGAAAAAATGAAATGAAGGCCTGTTATTACCAAATTGAGAATTATCAACATGCAGTGTACAAGGAGTTACATGTTAAACATATCCCAGGCAGTCATTAGCATGTTTTTTTGAGAGTATGGATAATCAGAATTATTATAGAATTGATACTTAATAATGAAAGAATAGCTAATTTAATCCTACAAAGGGCTGAAGGTTTATATATCAGTGCCTGATATACTGAAATTTGGCTTTTTTGGTGTGGGAACTCATTAGGTTGAAATTTACATCTGTTGATCTTTGGCTTTGATGTCATGTGGGATGTCATGTTCAGTTGTGTGCAGCTAAGTGTGATGTATACTTAAGTATCTCTGTCCTGCATGCTGCATCGTGATGTACCTTGTGGGCTCCAATCTAGTTTGTGCTATTGTCTGAGTGCTCTGGCATTGTCCAGCAATGTTTCAAGTTCTACAGGCTGCAGCAAGTTTCATTTGTCAGGATGTCTTACCTGAATGGGGAACAAACCAGTCAGATATCACCCCCCAGAAACCTGGCCAGGCTATTAGGTGTCTCTGCCTGGAGGAACCCTCTAAGTGTACTGAACTTTACTTTTATTTGAATTTTCCATGCAACAGGTACAAAAACTTGGTAATCAACACCAGCCAACTCAACCAAATGTGGTGGTAGTCGTTTGCAATGGCCACCAAAACCACACTAACCCTGTCTGACATGCCTAACATGAGCACTGCATTGCAGCCTGCAGCCCACCTTGTGGATACCAGTGGGGGTTTTCGTGGCAGCCTGTAATAGTCGCACACATCAACTTACATTCTTCACTCCCGAAGCCCTACACGCCCAACAATGTCTAAAGCCATAGCATCCATAGCATCAACGCTGTGCAGATTGCCGATATCTGGTTTCGACGATCGACGCCCAAAAAAGGATAATGATGCCCAACGACAACATCTTCCGCCGAGGCAGAGCCAAGGAACGCATTAGGGCAGTACTGTAATTTCCTTTTCAGTGTGTGTGTGGGGGGGGGGGGGGGAAGAGAAGGCTTTAACTTCATAACGTTGAGATCAAAGCTGTTGAAATTCGGGAACAAAAATTCAAGTGTATTAGGGGCTTGGTTTTCTGGTGTTAGTCCTATTCTATTTTCTTTCCCTTTCCTATTTTGTAAAGCTAACCCCTGTGGTAGAGGTTTGACGACCTTGACACGCGACGAATTAGCCCCCACATTACTCCAGCGTCATGTCTGGGACTTGTGATCTATTGCCCCAAGCAAGGACAAGTTCGGATTTGCATTGACCTGGGCTCCTTAGTCAGTAGGTGGCCTTGTGCCGGTCAGGGGACCACAGTACCTATCAAGGGTCCTGCATTGGCAGAGAGCACACAGCCGGTCTGGGGCAGTGTTGGAGGGGGCCCGCAGAGGACCGAAGGACCTCTCGGGATCGGCGGTCAGGTGCATGGTTTGAGGGCACGAGGTGCTGGCTGCCGGTCGCACGAAGGACTCCGGGACGCAGGAGTGGTCCCTCGAATGCCAGTCAGAGGCCCTTTTGCACCAATTTGGGACATCTTTGGACAATGGGGGCCTCTTTTTCGGCCAGAGACCACCAAGACCTAACAATCGGCTTGGTGGCGGTCTGAGCCCTGAGGCGCCCGTTTACTGAGCAGTGGCAAGGCCTAGACAATCGATTTGCTTTGGTCGGGTTATGCAAGACGTAGCCAAAGTTTTTCTCAAGGGCAGAAGCGTGTCAAATTTTCAGAGCTTAAGTTTGTAAGAAACAAGTTTTCTCCAAAACCCCACGAATTTAGACAAAATTTCTGTAAAATTGCCTGACTCGGTTGGGGCTTCGCCTGCTTCCAAACTTAACACGAGATGGCCGGGGACTGTCAGTAGGAGGGGAACACTAGCCATGATGTGCCGCATCCTTTGGAAGCATACTTGCGACTTCCAGCGCTTGGCGTGCCCACGGCGTCTTTCGAGTTGATCTGAGCGTGCCAGACCGCCCCCGAACAGCAGCGCGACCGACTTCCCCAGCCCGCTGGCCTGCCACCTGCTGCGCGCCCCACACTCATCACTCGCCGCCGTATCGCCGCATTTTCTGTTCACCCCGTCCCAGAGCGGCCCCAGTACGACCAGTGTCTCGAAACATGCAGACGGCTGTGGTGCAAAGCGTCAGCACGCTCCCCGGACTCTAGTGCCGTCCGGGCGCGGTCTCAGCACGCGTTCTTGACCCCGATTCATCTCCCGGACACCGAATTTGTCTCGATGCAGCTATCACTGAAACTGGCCTGGAGCACAAACATCAAAGCGCTTTGGTTTTTCACCTGGTGTAAATTTGGGTCATAATAGTCAAGTGTGGATGAAGCGGCACTGAATGACCAATAAGTTTCTTCACTTCACACACACACACACAACACACGCACATGATGGGCACATATGTAAATGGCGTAGGCGTAAGATCTGGCGGTTTATATATAAATGACTTGGTGTGGCGTTTGGCTTTGGGTCTGTGTGCAAGCGCAGTTTTTAAGCACGATGGCGTCCTGAAGGATCGTGCATGGGCTTCATGCAACATGACTTGTGCGTGATAGTTATGAATTCATGCATGCTAGCATTTTCCTGCTAGCACAAAAAAGGTAGTTACGATCTAACCTTGACATGAGATAGCGGCGTTCTTTCTGCTCCATGTCAGCGGTTCCTTTGTTTTTCCGAGAGATGGTAGTTACATCCTCGTGATATGTTCCAGAACCTATTTCATTAGGCGAGTCAAGGACGGATTCCGTGAGGGAAGGACGTTAGAAGACCCAAAGAAGATTGCAACTGAGCTTGAGAAGGCCAAAAGCACGCTTGAGGGTCTCAAACGACAGGTAAGTCTGAACTCCAATCGAAGTTTTGTATCCATTTAAGCGGTGCTGCAGAATCAGGGCCTAACAAATGACATTGTGAGTGACACATTTGCATTTCCTTTACGTTATCAGCAAGAACCATTTTGCGTTGCCCGGATTGCTGTAAAGCAAATGCGTACGGTTTCCGTAAAAGGCACATGCATCGGCGCATGTACAGATGCGAAGTGTCGGAAGGACCGGTTTGCCGGCATGCTCTTTCTTAGCCACACTGGACGAGCTATGGCAGCATGGATACATGTCCCTTGACGCGATGTGACTGACCTGTGGCGCGGCGTGCCGAGACCGTAACTGTATGGGCCCTCCGTCGAGAGGGCCGAGACCGTCCCTGAGGCGCGCTGTCTCCGCAGGTGGTGATCCAGAACATGTTCGAGCCCGGCCGGCTGGTGATCGAGAAGTAGCCGGTCGACAGCGGGGCGCGGCGATGTCGGAGCAGGCGACCGCCGAGCCGCCGAGCCAGACCCAGACGGTGACGGCGCCGGCCGAGCCGCCGGCCGACACCGAGCCCACGCTCCACCTGCGCCTCGTGCGGCCGCACAACCCCCGCCGGGTCAGTACGGACGCCGCTGCCCGGCCACTCAGGCCTGGGCCGGTGGGCCGCATGGGCTGGTAGCTGGTCCTGCCGCTCGCCTCGTCGTCTAAAGAGTCAGCTGGGCATGCGCTAGTGCCGTCCTTTGATCATCGCGCGTCTGGCTCCTTCAGTGTATGCCTCTTTTGCTAGAGGAACTGATTGTGGAAGGGTAGGGAGGTTGCGTGTGACCTTTCATGCTAAACGCATGTAATTTAGGCCAGGTTTGGTTTTTGAGAGCTGCGGGGATGGTGCTAGACCTGCAAACTTCAGACATTTTTTCTCCGTTAACTGTTTGGCTCCCAAATTCGCCAAATTCGACGATTGCGTATTTTTCCGAGCGTCGATCTGTGGATGTGGTCTTGCCATCAGCCAGCATGGGTACGTATTTGTGGCATTGCCGTCGGCTCCGGGACATGTTGAACGGTTGTTCAGTGTCGTCCACGGTCGTGCCGAGGGGCGACCCCTGAGCCGCCACCCGGGCCTGATTCCCGCTTCCGCCGCCAGGTGTGCTGGCAGTCAGACACGGTCGACAACGAGCACATGGGCAAGAAGAAGTCCAAGTGCTGCTGCGTCTACCGCAAGCCCAAGCCGTTCGGCGAGAGCAGCTCGGACGAGGAGGACGAGTGCAAGAACTGCGTGGGCCACAGGAAGCCGAAGTCACCCGCTGAAGGCGGGGAGCAGGCGGGGGGCGCGCCGGGGCCCGCCGCCAACTCCGGGTCCGGCTGAGGCGTCTGGTGACCGGGGTGACCGGGTGACCTGATGACCTCTTGACCTCCTGATGACCTGAGTGACCTCCTGGTGACCTGGGGCAGTCCGGCGCTCCTGGTGACGCGCGTTCCTACACCGACGACCTTGTCTTCTGGGCCGGGCGCCGCGGATACTCATCGTTTCCGGCGTCCGCCTTTGCGGGCTTGTGCCGTTGGTGCCTGTCTCAGTGTCGCTGCCTTGTTGGTGGGTGTGGGTGCAAGACTCGTCGGGTAAGCTGCACGTTTTTAGCTCGAAGATGCGCTTGGCGTTATTGTGGCATCGTGCCAGCGTATTGCGTATTGTGCCTGCGACCGGACAACGCGGCGTCCCGACGCTGCAGTAAGTAGGCCATGTAGTGGAAAGCGTGTCGTCGGCTTGGCACGCAACTGCAAGGATTTGCGATCCATGTGCTTCTACCTTGCTGTTTGGCTAACCACTGTTGCCGTGTACATGTGACGCTCACAATACATTAGCTGGTTGTGCGTTTTGAGCGTTGTGTTGCCGGGCGGGCTGACGTGCTCGGCGCTAGCCGGACATCCAGGTCAAGTCGGGCTCATTGTGGAACTTCCGCCTGAGGCCGCTCAATCAATCAGCAGTCACAGAACCCAGGCCTCAATTAATTACCTATCAGATGCGGCCGTATGGGTTTCCAGTCACACGTATGAATGGCAGTGGTGGAAGATGATAAAAACGTGCGCAAACATGTAATAAAGTATCCTTTTGGTACGGAATACTTGACAAAGAGGTCAGTTGGCACCTCCGGCTCGCGGGCTATGCTACTAACAGCACAAAGCCAACCGTGATCTGTATATTGGCCGTGAGGCCGTGAACCGCTTAGCAAAGTAACGTTGAACGGTATAATGACGTCTACGATCAACTGTGCCGTGTCGTTGCTATGACCTTGGATGACATTGACTGCCAGTCAGTGACGCTTGACCACAGGTGGTCATTGCATGGCGCTGAAAAATTAAGGACTGACGTCAGAAAGCTTGCAACTCAATACGTGCAAGGGGTAGGTCTTGCAAGACATTGTCAGAGGCGATAAAACAACGCCCTACCCCCAGTTACCCAAAGGTTGATTACGGCCACCTGGTCATTAACTGTCCGCACGCGGACAACGAAACACGCGTCAGACTGCATCTGCATTATTCTGAGCGGGCTGAAGGTTCCGGCCAGTCCAGTAAGGGTTTGCTTAATGCTTTGAGCGGAAGTCAACCCAAGGAGGTGAAAAGACCGGAACGCGCTGCAAATGTCGCCGCGCACTTTACGCGCTATAAAATGTGCACTTGGAACGCGTTGCTCTGCATTCCCCGAGCTGCCTGACGGGAAAGCCGGCCCGAGTGTCGGGAAGAGAGGCTGCCCTGGTTTAAAAGGGGAGTCACCGCTCCCGAAGGGTCAGACTTCAGCCATGCATCGCCCCCAGACCTCAGTGGTGACGCTCGTGTTGCTCGTGCTGGTGAGAGCTGCCCTGGCCGGTAAGATGGGTGATACACAGCCAGTGATACGTGGTGTGAGGTGGGCGACGCGCGTGCCGAAGCCAGGGTTTGCTGCAGCCGGGGAAAAAAGCTAGATCAACTTCGGCAGCTGCGCGGTGCTGCACCGCTTGGCAGCCAATTGGTCCGTGTGACCCGCATCACCGCCCTCCGCTCCACCTCAGCATGACTTCGGCCGGCGCTGTTTTCAGACGCGTTGAGTTACCACCGCCCGGACGAAGCCGGGGGCGAGTGTCCCGTGAACGACCTCCGGCCGCTGCTGCTGTGCGCGGCGGGGGGACCGCCCTTGTGCAGCAGCGACGCCGACTGCGGCGTCGGCCAGCGCTGCTGCAGCTTCGGCTGCGACAGGATGTGCGTGGCCACGTGCCAGCCTGCCTGCGGCCCGGACCGGCGCTGCCGCTGCCCCGCGGATGACTTCCCGTGCCGGCGGCCGGGTGAGGCCCTCTGCCTGCGAGACGACCAATTGGTGCAGGGCATTCAAGGGTGACCTGGTGTGACCTGACCTGACCTGACCACCAGGGCCTCAGGTAGTGGCCGAACTGCATGACCATCGGGGTAGCGTGGTGGAGCGGGCGCTCGCCAGCTGTTGAAGCGATGTTTGTGGCTCACGCTGGAACTTGCCGGATCGCTGACGGTTGTGCCTTTATAACAAATATTCTAATTGATTGCAATTCTAGCACAGGTGTATCTAATCCACCTGTAAATACCGCTATTAAAAAATGAGCTCGATTTTTTAGTATTCGCAAAAGAACACAGTTAAACATAACCCGACTTTAACGCCCGGAAGGCAGCATCTTCAGAGACACAGACGACGCAGGGTTTTCGCCTCACTGCTGACTGAGGTCTTCGCAGCGGTCTTGTCACCAATGACACATAAAACGACGCCCTGAGGCTGTCTAGGTGCTTTGCCGCTCTCCCCCCCCCCCCCCTCTCACTAGTTAAATATCTCGTTGTGGAGCGACCAATCGACGGAATCAATCTGGGCCCACGTAACGAGCAGCGTAGGCGCTGGTGGCTGTGTGTGCAGAGCAGACCCACAGCCGGCGGGTGAATGTCATTCATGGTCAGCGAACAAACTACATATATTTTGTAATACGTCCGCCTTCAATTATCGTAATGTTGCCTCGTGTACGAAGCAAGGAACTCCTCACAATGCAAAATGTCATCGACCGTCGGCACTCCCTATGCCGCAATCATCCTTGACAGCGAATATGGAGGGTATAGGACGCTGCCAGCTACCAGGGGTTTTGCGCAATCACCTGGAAAATCCAATAGTATTTGTCGGTGGAAGTGATCGCCATCACACAAGACAGTTCTCAGAACTTGGTGGCTGGCGGTGCGACCCGTGGATAAAGCCGAGAACACGACACGGAGAAAAGACATCACCGGTCATATCACCGCCATATCACCGGTCATTACCGGATCGGCATACGAAAGATCGTGACGTCAGAAAGCAGCAAAGTGACGTAAGAAGATTGTGTCATCGAGACGCCGTCAAAGTGACGTAAGAAGATTGTGTCATCGAGACGCCGTCAAATTGCTGGTGAGGAGGATGCTCTGTGTAAGAGCCTTAACAAACACTTTTCAACGGTGGGTGCAAACAGTCATTGCCATTTCCACTGTCATTTCCATTTCCGGTCGGAGTCATTTTCACAAAGTTATGTGGCAGACCTTCCCCTCGGCCAGCTTGCACTGACGGAGATGCTCTACACCTAAAGACCGCGACCCTCGCTGAACTTTTATTCGGTCTTGAAAACTTGCGGAAACAGACTACTCCAGGGACCGACAATATCTCTTTTTCCCAAGACCACCCTCATGCAGCCGATCAACACGTATTTCATCAGGTAAATATTTCTATCATGACTGCCCAGTTCCATCTTTTGGCGACGGGGGGGGGGGGGGGGTATCCCTTCTGCACAACTCTCAACCGAGACCGACGTGAGGGACTCATGGACAACAGAGAATATCCCAAGAGGTTAATGTATGGGGCCCTCAACTATAGCGTGCAGAGTCTTTCGGGCGAATGGAAAGAATCAGTGGAAGCCCCCTGATTGACGAGAGTACCTCGGCACCGTGGCAGGAAGGGCCCCAGCAACAGCGCAGGGCCCGCTGAGCAAATACAGAAAACTCCGGGCAACATGGACGGCTCCTTAAAGATGAGGTTGTCCCCGCAAGTGGACATATAGAGCCCCTAGAAACAGCGTAGGGTTTATGGGCAGCGTAATGAGCCTAAAAGTTGTGGATACCGGAGTGCCCCACTCTGGATGCGCCCGTGTGGGAGGTGGGGTGGGGGTTGATACATCCGTTCTGACACGGAAATTGCGTAAACGTGTTACCTGTTCCATTCTGAACTTATTGACATGCATTTGAGTGTGTATCGAGCATATATTTATAATATAGACTTACGTTGAAAAGGGTGTTCCACATTTTTATGGGGGTTGGAGCTGAAATAGCCACCTTGAAGACCTTTCGGTGCAGGTAACAGCCCTGCGCTTTTTACGAGCTAAACCCCTCTATTTTCTTAGCTAAACGCTCGCGAAAATCACGCGAGTATGTCGGGAGTATTCCAAGGTCACCTTGATACTCGCGACGCCGTAATAACGTCATTCAAATCCCGTCATTTCATAGGGCATGCGGTGATCAAGGTCGAGAAAAAAAATGTAATGGCCCAGTTGTTCATGTCTGGCGTTCGTGGGCATAATTTCAAGATACGACGGCCGTCAATTGGTTGCCAATCAATGTTGTGCAAGGTACGATGACGTAATTAAGCAATGACGTGTCGAGGAGCATGGGTGTAGGAACAGGAGGGCCAGGGGACCAATGCCCTCACCCCACTTTTTAAGGTGGGGGAGGCGGCAATGTTAACTGGCCCCCACTTTTTCAGATTTAAGCTGCGTTTAGCTTACTTTTGCGCTACCATAAACATGCATGTCGATTTACCTAGTTCACTAGCCATTTTCCTGAAGATGCGCCATGTTTACTGTTCGCCTAATGGCCATTGCCCAGCATCACAGCCGCGTGGCCAACACCACGCCGCTTATGAAGACTGCAATGCGGGGCGTCCAGGGTTGTAAGATTTGCGTGCGCGCATGCTTAAAACTGCGTTATATAAGCTAAATCACTAATGGATTAAAATGTCCAAAGTACTTCCTTAAGAACCGACGTCATTTTCGTCCACCCCTTGGCTATGGCTTAGTACTGGTCCCTGGACCGAAGCTGTGCGGCCTACGGAGACTGCAACGCATGGCGTCGAGGTTTTTGTTGCCAAGATTTGCGAGCGCGCATGATCAAAACTACGCTGCATAGTTTGCGTCGCAATCGATTTTGACTGAGTGTTGAATATTTCCACACAAAAACACATTGTCGCGTTAATAACTTTTTACACATTTTTGCGTACAATCTACGTGCGTGGGGTCCTTAACATGCCTGCAGAACCCACATAAAAATTTGACGAAGCTTCTGATTTTATCGTTTTAAGAAGAGTCCACTGGGCCATTCTAAATTAACAGCACTGGTGTTTTGTTCAACGCATTGGTTCAACGTCTAATTTCGGCAGCTCATTGACTTCAAAATGCAAAAAGATCTCGCAGAAGCTTCTGGTTTTTAGTTCTGTTCTGGTTACAAGGCAAAAATAGCAATAAAACGTAGATATTTTTGTCCCTTGTTAACTCGTGGGGTATATCTGGCGGTCTTTTTTTGGAGGGGGCACCATCAGGGGGGCTTTTGTTAACCATGTGCCGCTTGGCAAGGCTCTGGCTACGCCCCTGCCTACATACAAAAGTAGATCAAGCCGGCTACGTTGAGTGAGGGGCAATTAAATGTCCCTTGGATCAATTCATGCATAAGGCAGGCAGCTTCCCGAAAGTTTTCTGCGGTGATGTGGTGTAAGGGAAGATGATACGGAAAAGATACTCCCACAATTCTCAGTCAGCCCTGGAGGGGGAGGGGGGGGGGGGGAGAGCCAGGGCAGGGGCTATCGACGACGGATGAGAGCAGG